CCATTCAAAGACACACCTGTGTAGTAATCATGCTGCTCAATCAGCATGTTGATATGCCACACCTGTCAGGTGGATGGATTATCTTGGGAAAAGAGAAGTGCTCACTAACATGGGATTTTAACTGATTTTGTGACCAAAATTTGAGAAATGGGAATAAAAACCAAAGTGCTGCATTTAAATGTTTGTTCAGTTTATGTCAATGTTATTACGCATAGCTATTTCAGTTGTTTCTTTCTGTAGATTTTAGCTCACTATTTCAACTGCTTGTCAACTTCTCTAGCTATGTCACCTGTTTATCCAACTTTATGCGAACCATTTCAACTGGTTTTAATAGGTTTCAGCAATTTCAAATGCTTATCTATTACTTTAACAGTTTATTCATTCTTTGACCTTAACTCACTATTTCAACCATTTATTCTTTACTATTTGGTAAATATTTCACAGGGTTCTCCAAACATTTTCATGGACAAAATTTAAAAACTTTTCTATGACTTTTCAAGGACTCACAAAAAAATTCACAACATATAGAACCAGCAGAACTGTATATCTAAATGTTAGTTATTGTGTGAACTTTAATCAGAAACCTTTTCCTATCTCTAATAGTTGGGTATGTTCATAGTCACTTCTAATACTTAAAATTACGGGCACAGTCATACAAGCATTTAGTGTATATCAATCTGGCACTGACTTTCAAGCACGTGGGAAAACTAAACTGATAACACTATCACTGTATTACTAATGTATTTGATTATAAACTCATAAACAGTGTGGCAACAAAAGAATGTAGGCATACGCTTTTTGAGCCTTGTAAGTGGTTATCTATGCAAGATTACTCTAACAATCAATTTCAGTGCACACACTCCATGTGTTTTCCAGGTTTTCCATGACCGTGGGAATCATTAATTTCAACGTCTCTGCTAGCCAAATATTTTCATGCACTCTCACTTGCAGTTGGTGTTAATGTGTTACAGCTGACTAAGAATGATGTTTTTTTATGTGTTTTGTTTTGAATGAAATCACAGTTTCTGTTTTTTTAGTTGAGTCAAGTTTACTATTCAAGCTTTCCACTCAAAGTACCCTATGTTGAGAATCGCTCATGTGCAGAACCTCATAGGAAAAATGCAGTTTCACTTCCTGTGCTGTATCAGCAGAGGGCAGTCTAACTCATCAACTGGAGACAACAACATGCCTGCAAACGTTTGCTTCATCAAATAACGACATCACTTCACAGTGTCATTAATCAACTTTGTTTATTTTCTCCCAAATTTTTCTAAAAGTGGCCTATTTCATGTTTTCTTTTCACCTGCCAAATATTCATCATATCAGTGAAATCCATGAAAAGTTACAGCCATTCTAGTTACTACAGGAGTTTACATTTACGCTGTAGATTCTAGGATTCTGTACTGTGGTTTTAGCATATAGGCAGAAAAAAAGAAACACTATATAGATGTTTAAAAAAACAAAAGACAGTTGGGTTCCAAATCAAAACACCATGCAGAAAAACAATGTGGCACATTTCAAATCAAATGCCATTTATAAAGTATTCAAAATTGCATCATGGCTTCAAATCAGTTCCTAGAAAAAAGGACACTTTTAAAAAACCATACTTTGATTTATTTTTGACCCCATTATTTGAGAGAACAGAGGTGCATGGCGGCGCAGCCTCAGAAATGTTCTAATTTGGAACAAATAACACTAGAGATGGGAGAGCCTGAGCTGTCAGTCACTAAACTTATCTATCAAATATCTTTACAGCTTGAGTAAATACTGTGACCGTTCAGTTACCGATAGCGCTCCCATCTCTATCTGACACCTGGCAATAAATACTCTGACAAACAGCGTTTGTTCATTCTGACATCAGGAAATACTCATTTTTAAATGTTAGTGTTTTCAGGAGACATCTAAGGGAAGACTTATCTCATATTCTACGAAAAAAAAAGATTCAACTTTAAGAAACATGCACTGCATAAACACACCTGCTGAATCCACAGCAAAGGACTGAGCTCAAGAAAGGTAACCTTTTTCTATCTACTGAGATTTAAAGGAACAGAATGTAAGATTTAGGGAGATTTGGTGGCATCTAGTGGTGAGGATTGGAGATTGCAAACAGCTGAAACGTATCCTGAATTCCTTCAGAGTTCATTGTTCAGGTTTTTCCCAGGAGCAGAATTATCCGCAGAGGTGTCTTCCTCGCCAAAACAAACAGACCTCATGTTTCAGACTGGTAAAAACACTGAATTAAGCAGTTTGACGTTACAAATCACTGTTCTTCCAACACTGTTTGGCACATCACAGATGGGCAGCTCGCCCAGTGTCTGCTAATGTGTGCTCAACTGTTTTCTTTGATAGCTTAAGATCCAGATGTTCAGGAGATTATAACCGGGAGCCAAATTATCCATAGATGTCTCTTTCTCTTCAAACAAACGGAACTGCGGCCTCATTTAGAAAACAGCACGTAGGATCCATACTAAAAATGTATGTATGGACAAAATCCAAAAATGGCAGTCTCTACAGTCAGGCCAATTTCCTGTCTTTAAAATTATTGTAAGCATGGGTCAAAGTTTCTCCCATCAAATCTATTTTTACAGATCACAACTTTGCCTCTTTCAGGCCTCTCTGTGTGTACGCAATATTTACAAATGAGACCCCTGCTGATTTAAACTGGTAAAAGCACTGAATAATGCCCCGATCACACAGAAAGCGTTTTGCAGGTTGCAAATTCTAACCTTCCCGTGTAATAAATTTACCGTTTATTTATTTATTTATTTACTTTAGGTATTTGACAGTAATCAGTGTGTAGTTCCTGACATGTTGAGGCAGAGGGTACTGTGTGTAGCTCTGGTTGAGGGTGAGAGGCTGTCAGCAGATAAACAGAGATCTGTGTGGGTACATGAGACCCTAAAAAAGAGGCTGGATCATGGGGAGTACCACCAGTTGGTCCAGGAGCTTCTCCTCCATCATGGACGTTTCAGTTACTGCACTTATCTGCTTCCACACCTGCTGATTTCTATTAAGATGGAGGTAACTGCGGTTTGTAAAATCACATCGCTACCACCAGTTTCTCCTCCATTGTTTACCAACTGTTAACTTGTTGTCATGACCACCACAGAAGGCCCGCCTCTCAAATAATCTGATTGGCCAATGGAAAAAAAAGATGACATGGGTTGAAGTTTTCTCAACTCCAGGAGTTCAGAGTGCTCCAGCAAGAACGCCAGGCGCCTGGAGCCCAGAGACGCGAGGCGTGTCACAACTCAAAAACAGCGAGCAAAAGCTTCATTCTCATTAAAAACAATTGCAAAAACGCGAACTATGGTGGCTGATGTAAAAAAGCAAATGGCCATATCTAAAGCCAGTGTTTGGTTTGTCCATTCTGGGCTACTGTAGAAATATGGTGGCGATGTCCGTAGATGAGGAACCGCTCCCTATGTAGATATAAATGGCTCCTTCTACAGTAACAAAACACAACAACTCTTATTTTCCGGTGATTACACACAAAAGGAAAAATACTTAATATATGATAATCCATTTCTGTCTATATATCCCCCTAGATCCTACACACTGCACCTTTAAAATGACACACAAGGAATTAGGTGTGATCCAAAAATGCCATCCAAACTGAACTTGGTATTTAGAATTTGGCTTTAAATTTTTCACTGGGACGAGGGGATTTTCTGTATGGATTCAGCAAATGCCTTCAGCAGTCTTCAACCGAGTTGTAACCAGGGTTCAATAGAGAAAAAGAGGATTCACAGGCAGATGCTACAGCTGCAAGAAAACCATTCAATCTCCTTCCACGCACACATGCACGGCAACACGCTCACACGCAGTCACAGATGGGCAAAGGTAAAGCTGTAGCCCTCCTGACCTGAGAAAATGATTGTCAAGCATGCACACAGCATACAATTTTAGTTAATTTCACAAAGTAAGAAAATTATCTATCCATTAGCCTGTGGAGATGGTTTGATTCAGAATGGCCTTGATACATTTTCAGAGGTTACAGAGAAGGAATAATAGCATCTGGAAAAGAATAATAATAAAAAAAAAAGATTAGGTTTTTTTTTTTTTTTACCAAAAGCAAACCCTGTTTAAGGTCCGGTTGTGTCTGTGCTTTTCAAACTAAATCATTGATCACATGGCCACGCTAGAATACAAAATAGATAAAAGTAAAATCAACAATAACAATGAAGTAGTGCTATGGTTTTATACATAATATACACAAGTTAACAGTGATCTCTAGACTTTATTATCCATAGACTTGTCTTATGAGCAAAAGGCGCTAGGTCACAGTGGGTTTCACATTAGTTAACACTTTAGAACGCTAATGCTAGTTATACTCGTTGACCACTAGGGGGTGATACATGTGACAGGAGCTAGGGTCTCTACAGGAGGTACTATCAAAACTTATCTGAAGATACCGCCGTAATGTTGCCTTCATATCCCAGCAACATGTGAAGAGATTTCTGCCCTTGCGGCCTTAATTGGGTCTGTGCTTGGAACCATGTCGTATTGTTAGCTTAAAGGGTAACTTTTATATTTTTCAACCTGGACCTTATTTTTATGTTTCTGTTTCTAAGTGACTAATAGGAATAACAAGTTCAGAAACTGGTCCTGTATTGAGCGAGACCTCTGCAGCTGAAAATGGGCTGTAGTGTAACCACTTGGGGCAATTATGCAGGGCCCATTTACAGCCTCTAAAAGTGTTTGTTTTAGCCACTGACAGGCTCAGACTGTGTGTTTGTCTCTGACAACATGATGGAAAGGATCCCTCCAGAGATAGACTTTTGTTAAAGGGTAAGATCCTCTTTGTTTAGCGAGAAACAGCCCCGAAATTGCTCACCAAACCCACCAGACTCCATTTATATAAAGAGTAATTTTAGCGTGTATAGATTCAGCATATTTTCACATCTAACTGGGTGATGTAAGGGTTTATTTCAACCAAACCAGAGTTGGTGATTGTTGGAACAGTGGAAAGACAAACCAAGATGGCTTTTGTGAGTTTTATTTAGTTTCTATCGACTTTGAATGAAGTGTGTTTTATGGTGATAAAATTACAGTTTTTTTTAAATGCAGTCTGGTGTATTTGGTGATACTGATTTTGGGTGTGTTTCTGGTTAAACAAAACAGATCTTAGTCCTCGACAAAAAGGTCTATCTCTGTAAGGATCCTTTCCATAATGTTGTCAGACACTTACAATAAAACTGAGCTTGTCAGTGGTAAAAACAAGCACTTTAAGTGGACATAAACTGAACGTACAACAGGCTGTTCTCATACACTGTATGTACGAAAAGTAACACACCAAAATTCGTAAATATTCCACATAATGATGAGCTGGTAATTCATGCACAACCCATGTATTCTGGAAGGCTGCGATCAAGTGACCAATGTGGTGTTGGGAGTAAAGAAGGAATTGGTCCAGAGCGAGTCCATATGGAGGCAAGTTGGGGTGGTGGATAGGTCATAAAACACAGGACTTTCCCTAGGAGACCAGTGTTCAGAACTGTGTGAACTTTGAGTGAACTTTGACTGATTTTAAGGTACATCTTCCCCATGTTTCTTTTCCTAAACCTAACCAAGGTTGACTTTGGGTCACTTTATGCTCTGGACATAAAGTCATCCATGGGGCGCTAATTGGTAGGATATCATACGAACTGTAGTGTAAAGGTAAAGTAAAGGTAAAGTTCCACTGATTGTCACACACCTGAATGTGTGAAATTTGTTCTCCGCATTTGACCCATCCCCTGAGGGAGCGGTGAGCAGCAGCGGTGCCGCGCTCGGGAATCATGCGTGCATCATGCGGACTGTTTAATGAAGATATGTTGTGGTACAAACATGCCCTGAGTGGTTACACTGCAGCCAGTTTCGCTGCTCCTGGACACAGCGCACTCCTAAATATTGGACCAATTTCAAAAACGGTTGTCCCCATTAGTCAATTAGACACAAACACATGGTATAACAAGGTCCAGGTTAAAAAATACTAAGTTTCCCTTTAATGTAGCACAGCTATAATCTACAGGACTAAACATGATGTGTGTTTATAGCTTTTACAGAGAGAGATCATCGTGTAGCTGAAAGCCTCAAAATCAACGAAGAAAAGCGGCGAATCAGTGAAACTAGCTGCCAGTTGTCGAACGCTTGGTGAGCTCTGAGAGATAAAAACATGTCGTAAAGTTGTGCATGTGGATACCAGACTAAAAGGTCCATGTAGTGGCTATCTCAGCCAGTCTAAAGAGCGTGTTTGTTGAAGGAATGCTGGGAGCTGTAGGCAGTAGGGAGCACGGCATGATGGGTTGTGTAGGCGCAGGTAGTTAAGAGGTGTTTTCAGGTGAGTGTAGGTACTGTAAATCCTGATCTCTCTCCGTCTCTCTGGTTGCCATGCTACAGCGGCCCTTTGAACTGGTTCCCAGAGAGGTGCTGTCTGATGGACAGCTTTGATCCTGCTGCATCACCCAGCTTTCTCCACACCACCTGCAAACAGAGGCAGAGAGAGGAGTTGAGAAGGAGGAAGAGGAAGAGCGAGACATACAGAAGGAGACAGGCATACAGAGAGGCAGAGACTGAGAGAGTACGGCTGGGCTGAATTAAAAAAAAAAAAAAAGACTTTCTTCTTCAAGAACGAAAACTTCAAATGCTCACAGTTTGACACACACACACACACACACACACAGTAAAGCTATCTCTGTATCTCTGTCCTCCGTCTCGGTGAGATCTCTGCCAGTGAGTGAGAGGGGCCCCCGGGGGACCCCAGTGATATTACAGAGGTACTATTGTAGTGCTCCCCAGATTCCTGGCCTGTCACATACCTCTGCAGGGCCCAGATAGCCCCGCTCTCGTTTTCTCTCTAATCAGCGGACCTTTTATCCCGGGCCGGGCCTTTCAGTGCCGAAAGAGAGAGATGGAGGGAGATGAGGTGGAGGGCGGAGGAGAGGAAGAATGGAGGGGTGAGGCTGAGGCGCGCGGGGTGTTCTTTTCCCTGCCGCTCCAGTTTAATTGCTCTGACAGCTCAACTACGAGCCTCTACCCACAGCTTTTAGTTTAGAGTTGGCTTTGGAGCAGGGACGACGGAGAGGGAGGGGGGGAGACGGAGAGATTGATAGAAAGAAAGCAAGAGGGAGTGCCGTGCCCGGGACACTGCTGCAAGTGTCATTCCAAACCAAATGAGTCTAAATGAGGTTTCCTCATTAGTGAAAGCAGCTCAAAAACTGACCTGATTTGCACCCAGCAGAACTAAATAACTGACCAACATACAGACAGAACACTGTGGACTCAAGAGAGGAAATGTCAGGGTGCAGGGAGAGGGCTGCACTTACGTTGCACATCTCTCTCACGATGGCCTTCTCTTTCTCACTGAGGTCGTCCTCATAGTCCTCAGGAGCCTGCTTGTCCAAGTTCTCATGGACCTCCAGCACCTGATGACAAGTCGTGGTATTTTAGTTTACAGGGAGCAAAATAAAAACTTCAGAAGTGTGAACATGTGAACAACACCTATTTTTTTTATGCAAAAACTCCAGGATTCCCACACATTCACTTATTTGTGGCAGCCCGCCACTGTTAAAACATCTGCCGCCATGTTTGCTAGACTGTTCATGAGGTGAGCTGTTGGAATATATATACTGTTTGGTTATTCATTGCACTCTTGCAGTGCTAGTGTACTCTGGGCACAGACAGAGCAGTGAAAAGTGAAACTTTGTTCATTGTGCTAGCTCTAAAAGTTTGCTGCTGCGTTCATGGACCCACAAAAACCTCTGAATGTGGAGAATGGACAGACTGATACGAAAATGAAAAGGTAGCGACCCCCAGTCGTTTGCTACTGCCACACATAGAGTCTAATCCTGTGGGAAACACTGAGCTGTCACACTTAACATCAGTTTTATTCACTAACAAGTGCACTTTTGTACTTATTTTACTCTGAGAAGGTTTTGAAGTTCAGTCTTGAGTCTACTTTTTTTTAATACAAAGAGTTCATATAGGGCTTTCCCACAGTATATACAATGTCTGACTAGTATCAGTGTTGCACTTAACCAAGAAATATTCGAGCATTTAAAGCCTGTTTCCAGACCTCTGGATCTGGAACCAGTTTCAGAGGAATCTCAGAAAAGTTCAGACATTCATATTGGTCTGATGTTGCGCCCACTGACAGCTCTGACTCGGACTAAACTTTATTTATACAGCAGTGTTCATACGAACATGTTGTCCAGAGTCCTTCATATAGCAAATCTGAAGCAACATAAAATTAGTGATATAAAAAACAAAACAAAATAAAGAATAAAGAAAATTTTGCAAGACAAATAAAATAAAATAATCAATAATCAATTTAAAAACTAAAGCTTTAAAATGAAAGCTGTTTATCCAATTTAGAGAAATAACTGACCAATCACAGGGCAGGATTAAAAATGTCATACTCCCACATAGCTAGCTCTGTAGCTGCATTCATTAAAATTTGCAACAGAAAAATTTAAATATCAAGAAATCTGCTTACTTGAACACGATAACAGGCTGAATGATTTAAGTTAAAGGGACAGTTCACCGTCCTCCTTGGTTGAGTTGTAACATTAGCTAGCTCAGTGGTGCTAAGGGAGTTAGCAGCAGATTGGACCATGCAAACCATGAATATGCTGCATTCGTAGGTTCCATACACATCGTATTATTGTTTATAAAGTGACGCGGTATATGAGCTTATTTTTTCGTTGGGAGATGGAGGGGAAGGTGGATGGCACGACACCTGCCAAGCTGCAGACCAAAACCAATTGTGTTTTGTGAGTCATTGCTGCATCCCAGACAGAAAATGTGGGTGTTTTTGTGGCGACCCGTTGCTGTTTTTCCAGGGGGACAGTGCCACAAAAAGCGGTTGTTCTCTACAGAGACATTGCTGTGTTCTAGCCGGGATAGTGCCGCGAAAAGTGGGCATTTGAAGCCAAACCGTGATCGTTTCCTAACCATAACCAAGTGGTTTTTATGTCTTAACCAAACCACATGTTAACCACAACATTGCTGAAACGTAAATAAAGGTAAAGTTTTAATGTATCTGCTACATAATAGTGTACAAAAGTAACATGTACATGGTTTTCAGAAACATACAAACAAACTGCGTCGAGTAGATGCACGCTTCCTTCTGTGCAGTGATACAATTGGTGAGTGGTTCGGTAGAAAGAAAATAGTTCCTACATGAAACTGCTCACAACAAGGTCTGTGGATTATCTGCAGTTAACAGGTCATGATTTCTGGGAAGAGACGTTGATGTTGAGTGTTTCAAATGTATTTTTTGGCGCTTTGACCACCACAAGCTGAGTGCCATCTAGTTTATTATATTGGAGAGAAGGCAGACATCTCTATGGTCGATATCTCCAACACTCGGCAACTCACACCAAAACTATCCAGACTGATGAACAGGTAAGAGGAAAAATATGTACTTTTGTTTTTGGGGTGAACTGTGCCTTTAAACGAAATGATAGCACGCAGCCAAAAGTAGGACTGAAGTTTATATGGAACAGCACAAAACCCAGTTTGGTGACAGAAGCAAAATTAGATTTTAACTCATGTGATAGTGATAAAAAGAGCAATAGGTTCCCACCACAATTATCCTAAAATAGACTTTACTAAATGAGTGTCGTACCTTCATGGCGTGCACTACGGCTTCAGGCTTCTGGACGCAGGACAGGTAGCCTGTGGCAGGAGAGGACTCGCTGGTTGGGAGACGGCCGGTACCCTGCAGGGAGAAGAGGAAGTATAAAAGAAATGATGTCAGGTTATTTTCTACAGTGGATGGAGCACAGAGAAGAGCAAAGATGAGAGGAAGGGGTGACCTGCGACAAAGGACTAAACCCACAATATCTGGCGGACATGTCAGACTCTGATCTCGTCACGTCTGCTGTCACACAGGGTCAACCCCAGGAGTCAAATGAGCACCACCTCACCGAGGTCCTAACCTGAGCCAAGATAACAGAGAACTCAGTAACAGGAAGTAAAGCACTCTCTCCTGATCAGCTGGTGTTTGGGTCTGATTTAACACGAGGGATTTCTTGTACTGTAGCACTGAAAATGCCATCGCTTTCATCCCGACTCACATCACCTCTCCTCCCCTTGTGTTCTTCTTCCCCCTCTTTGCATTCACCTCGTACTCAACTCCCAGCCAGGTCTGCTACCTGCACAGTGTGATTTAACCTGCTGTGATGGGAGCAGCCAGCCAGGAAGAGGACCACGGGGGTTGCTTGACTCATCCTACCCCCGGTTAGTTCCAGACAGTGGCTCTCTGTTAGAGGGACACAGAGATCTCTGGGACACACAATGGCACCATTCACTATAACCTGGCATCGGGGCCCTGCATTAGACACAGCTCCGTGGCTCTGTTAGCCCGGGTTCAATTCTCCGCTCACTGCTGATGCGTTTGTCAGCTCCCTCCGCACCCGCTGGCCCCATTTAGGTGCCAGAACGAGCCCACACAACTTAATAGCACAGAGATAAAATAATAATCCCACTGAAGCCAACAGGGATGTTTTGTGGACACTGGCCAACGGTCGATTCAGATCACATCAACCACATGAAAAATAGATTTTTTAACTGGTCCTGCAGGTTACGGACTGACAACTGTTTGTTCTGAACGTACAGTGATGATTTTATGACGTTTATTTATTTGCTCAGACAGTAAAAGGTCATCAATGTGAGAGAAAAAACAAACATGGCCGTGGTTTGCCCTTTTGTTTTCAGGTAGGATTTGATCCACACACACGTTATGGAGATGAGACTCGCCTGCCTTAACGCATTTCATTCATGAGTTCTGATACCAGATAATAACGACAAAATGAAAAGGTTAAGATGAATCTGGTTGTTTATTGTATTAAAGAAGGCTGCTGCTCCACAGCACGCTCAAAAGTCTGAGTGTCCTTTGAATGCACCAACATGAGCTTTCAAAATGTTACTTACTGTCATTTGATTTGTAAAATGAAATGTAAAATATAAATATTTTCAAACAAAACCTTTATTTCATTTAACAAAAGAAGCCAAACTTCTAAAATGTCAAGTGTCATCACAGCACGTCTACATAACAGGGCTGCAACTAACGATTATTAGGGCCCGAGCACCACGTGGTGCGAGGACCCTCTTGAAACTGAAGGAATATCATTATTTTTCCCAGAAGTAAATTGGCTTTTTGTTTTTTTTAACGTAGTCGAAAACGAGTCAATTTTTCTGTGCGCATCAGTCACTGTGTAAATTTACATGTGATATGGCTTTCTTCAGCGGGTGGGGCAAAATAGCATGGCCACGCCTTTTAAAGAGCAGCCCCTGCGGCATGTTTCACTGACATGCACGAAAATTGGTACAGACGTGTATCGTGCCCAAATGCACAAAAAAGCCTCTTGGACCCTTTCCCGAAACCCAACAGGAAGTCGGCCATTTTAAATTCCGTGGTCATTTTCGGCCTACGTGTTGTAATTTAACAAACTCCTCCTACAGATTTCATCGGATTGCCTTCAAACTTGGTTTGTGTGAGCTTGACTACTTTGTGATCAAAAATTGTTACAAGATATACCTGACGTTGAAGGGCACGACCGCTGTGGAGCATCCATGAGACCATATTCCCTTATAGTCATAGTGCCTCCTAGTGGCGACAGGAAGTACATCTTTTCAGACACTTATCTTTTGATTTACTAGAATTGAATGCCGTGATCTAAATTTGATGTACAAAAACATGATGTATCATTAGAGCCTTCTCCAGCACCCAATAGTGGATAGAGGAAGTGGTACAAAATGTAAAATAGGTTATTCCATCACTGTATCAAGGATATGCCATCTCACTCCTGCATGCAGTGTCTGACTTTTGCAGAAATTAACTGCCGCGTCAGCCGGCGTCTGCCAGCACCCCCAAGTTGCACATCAGTGCGAGGGCCCGTTCATTGCTGCTTGCAGCTTCAATTATGATTATCATTATTATTATTATTATTATTATTCTTAAGAACTGCATTTTGAGGGCCTTAAGGTGCTCAAAAACTCAACAAAAATTGGCACACACATGTAACCTGGTGAGGTGCGAGGGCCCACTCATTCCTGCTTACTTTAATTTGTCGACTATTTTCTTAATTAATGGATTAGATTTTTGGTTATTAAAATGTCAGAAAATGCTGAAAAATGTGGATCAGTGCTTCTCATAGCTCAAGACGATGTCCTCAAATGTTTTTAATTTAATTAAAAACAATTCAATTTAAAGGAAGTACAATAAGAAGCTGGAATCAGAGAATGTAAAACAGGATTACAAAGTTGACCAGACATTTACTCTAAGTGTTTGGACCTAATAATTTCTGACTGTCTGCACTATGCAGTGTTGGAATGTAACAAGGAACAGTATTTTGATTTAGTGACGTGCAGGGCGGGAGATATTTACTGAACGACACCCTCATATTATTAAATTCGTCACCAAGGTTAAGTGCATATTTATGAGAAGATGATATATAACCGTCCTCTTGTTAAACACAAACACATTTCCCACTGAGTAAAGTGTTTCTTCTTGTTTAAGGTCACAGGAACAAAACAAACAGCTTCATTTTTCCATACAGCTCATCTGAGGTTCACTTTGAAGTCAATTACAAGAAAAAATATGTAAATCACTGTTGCCTCCTTTTGATGCTCTGTTCTGTGGGTTAAAGCTATTATTTGAAATGTGTAAACACTTCCTGCCAGCATCGAGGCCAGTTTTTTTTTCCCTTTTTGTTTATTCTGCGCTGGAGCCGTGCAGTAAGGAAACAGATTTGGACAGCGCAGAGACACAGCCAGCTCCGGGCAATGTTTACTGTTCATATGGATGTACAGTCGGGGAGGCTCGCCTGCATAAACAGGCCTGATTTAGGCCTTGCAGGATGAAGGGAGGGAAACAAACGCTGTCAGAATCAATGGTTTGTAGTTTGAGCACATAGAATCAGAGCCGACTGTTGGATGTTTGTGAGGATCACGCAGGCTGGACGCTTCCTTTCTCCATCCGTCTTTCCTTCTCTTCTTTCTTGCTGGTTTTCTATCCGACAATCTCACACACACTCGCTGACCTGAAACTGGGCCTGAACGAGACAAAGGACGTAACATAAAGGCTGAGCTGATAGATCAGGACACAACGAAGAGTCCAGTTCACTGCTGGTATAGTCTTCGGCCCCACATCTCTCATCTTCTCTTTCACTCGTGGGTGAACTTGGGCCGTGTTAGAGAGCAGGCAATCGATCGCCATATAGCTCAACATGAGTGCGTCTTTGTGCAGTCGTCACGCCAACAAAGCCATCATAAGAAGAGGACATGAATTAAAAGAATAAGTTATTCTGTGCTGCATGCAACTGATTCACTAGTATCCTGCTGTAAGCTGCTGCAACCCCCCATAAAATCTCTGTTTGTTGTTTCTTTACACTGATTTTTGTTTGTTTGAACAAACAAGATATAACATATCAATTAGTGAGTTCAGTCAGGAACACTTTAGTCAAAGAAAACTATGTCCATTTGCAGTGTAATATTTGGTGGTATGGCTCTGTTCTGGGGCCTTCCACGCACAAACGGAGAAAGCCTGTGGTTGAGAGAGCAAAATTCCCTGCCCTTCCATGCGCCTACATGGAAAGCCAAAGGCGGAATTTATACTTCTGTGTTAAATCGACACTGTACCCTACACCGTAGCCTGACATGCACCTCCCCAGAAATGTAACTACACGTCACAGCAACACAGACCTCCTGTCTGTTTCTGTAAGCTGAAACCATTTCCCTCAGCGGAAACGAAGCTTTTATTTACTTTAATTTCACAGATAATAAACAATAAATTGTGAAGACAATAAAGCCTCCACAAAAATAACAGTTAAAGTCTTGTGTGTGATTTATCCTGGCTTCATATGAGCAGAGGAAATTTCTGCGCGTTGCTAGGCTAATTTATACAATGTAAAATGCCATAGGCTTGTGCTAATAAAGTTAGCATGTTGTATTTGTGAGGAAAATGTGTCCAGATAAAGACAGTTGTTATGTCAGTGAACCATGTGAGTTGTAATGGAGCTGAATACAGCAACACTTAACCTTTCTGGCCAACAACAGTAACTCAGAGTAAGATTCAGTTTCTGTATACAATATTAATAGTTCAAGTAAATAAAATCTACCACAAGTTACACATTTAAACAGCTCCCAGATACAAAAAATGTCCCCTGAGATCTATATATATAAATCAACAGGTGATTTGAAGTCAATGTCAACTAGTCCAAATACTGCGAGTAAAAAATTATACAGGTATTATCATGAACAAGATGATATGGCACACCCCTGACCATGACGTTGAATCCTCTTTTTATAGGATTACATTACTGATTGAAACCAAACTTATCAGAGCAACAAACACTTGCGTGATAAGAACTACCTAAAATGATAGAAACCATGTCTGGGAAATATTTATTTGAGGGGTTCTGTGAGTTTTTAGTTTGGCCCAGATCTGCTAACATAGAGGGGGCAGGGTTTATGACCTATACTGCAGCCAGCCACCAGGGGGCTATCAAGATGTTTAGGCTTCACTTTTTGGGGAGCTGTCGTGCAGTCCATCATTTTTATACAGTCTATGGGATCACCCAAGACACATGTTTGTACCAGGTATAAACAGAGCCACAGGAGTCACAGAAGTTACCAACAGTCACGCCAGAAGACAGGCGGAAATTAGTGTGTCTATCTGGGTGTCATATTTTATCACTACTAGTGAACTGAAGCCGATAAATACCTGTAACTACTGCAGAGGTATCAATGCTGACTTTTGTCTCTAAAGACAAAAGTCAGATGTTAGTAGGTTTTATTGTCCAGTCGGAAAGAGGCTACGGCACGGCAAGTTTGAACGAGCTGATGCAACCAGATCCTGACTGAATGTAACTACAGGTAGTCACACAAATCCACTTCTACCTTCCAGTCTCACAGAATGACATCAGATGTCATGTCAGTGAGGAGTTAAAATTTTCACCTCTAGTCACAATCATGACCTTGTTTCACTGTGAAATTAAACGCTGTGAGACAACCGTCAAGATAATTTGCAGTTTAAATCCATCGTCCCGCGGGGAGAGACCTCACGTGGGGTCAAGGTTTCATAGACATTATTGCACGACACGAACATCCACAGAGGAGGCGGGTTTGACCCGTGGGCTTAAAAGGTGCGAGCTGGCTCCGAGCGCAGTCAGCCTGCAACCTCACACTGGGCCTGTGATTAAAACACAATATTGATTTTTACACGGGGAAGATTTAGTCCTCTGGTTAGTGGCATCGCCCGGCTCTGACCTTCCTTAAGCAGTCAGAAAACAATTACCCTAGCCTCTCCTCCCCAGACACTGGCTGGGTCAGGGGTGGCGCTGGATTGGAGAGGATTATTACTTTCATAGTGGAATTCAGTTCAAACAGGCTCCAGGGAGGAGGAAGGGAGGGACAGGATATGGGAGGAAGAGGAGGGAAGGCTGACTCCTCTTTATTCGTTCCTGTCTCGCTGTCTTAGTTTCTCCTCTTCCTCTCCTCTGTCTCATCCCACTCATGCCCTACCTCCTTTCACTATCCTTTCTTCCTGCCTATGTGTGTGTGTTCCACTTCCTGTCATGTGTAAGAGGGTGAGGTGGCCCGTGGAGGTTTAATTGGAGAGTTAAAAGTGACTTGATTCCACTGTGGAGGCACCGGCAAAGTCTTCCCTGCAATTAAGTGTGTGTGATTAAACCCCGTCTCTATGCGTAACCACGTCTGTATAAGCAGTGTCACAGTGTTGATCTTTGACTGTTTCAGTGGTGAGGTATGAGTAGGTATCCCTCTGTAAGGGTTTACACAAGGTCCTTGAAGTGCTTGAATTTTGAGGGGAAAAAATGAAAACATAGTGCTTAAGAACGTACGTGAAAATCCTTGTATTTAATTTTGTAATGTCATACTGAACCCTGCTCTTTCAGTGTGTGTAGCTGTCTTGTGTGGGTCTGTGAATGTGTGTGTGTTGGTCTTCTGTGTACTGACCATGTGCATGGCGTCCTGGCGTTGCGGCAGTGAGGACAGCTGGGACTCTGAGTGGTAGAGGGTCATTCCCTTCCTCAGGGCACGAAGGTCACCTGGGTTATACTGCTGAGCACAAAACAAACACAAACACACACAAACAAGCAGAGACAGAAGGCTTCAGTGACATGTCAGCCGAAAACATGTTTTTTTTTTTACTGCAATTAGATAATTCACACAAGATCTTTCCTATGTCAGTTGATTTTTAAGATCATTTTGATGGCACTAGTTACTCGCTTCAAGTGGTTCATTTCGGGCTGCATGATGTGTAAAATGTCTACTTGTTAACGTGCACAAAAAAGTTATTTTTCTATATTTTTAAATTGTGCTGTATTCTGAAATGGAGCAATGTTCGTCTTGAATGATCACGGACATTTTATTATGGGTCCTTGAAAAGTCATGGAAAAATATGTGTGACCCTGCCTGTCTGTGTTCAAACTTCAAAGTGATCATTTAAGTGGATGCCTTGTACTTAGTCGAAGCATGTGGTACTTAGAGTCCGTGTGTAGCTGTGTGGGACGGCATTTATTCTTTAAAATATGTGTAATGATGAACCTCTGACAGGTGCAGGTCTGTGATTATTCTTGCTCAACTCTTTTGTGCACATAGGCCTAAAAAAAACACATATGCGCCTCTTTTGCATGAACTAAGGAAAATCATTGATTCAGTTTTATAATCGAGAAATGTTTTTACACATCAGCCTATAATGTGAAATTTACACAATTCTATATTCAAGGAAACAAGAGTGTCGATCACTTGATGAACGTAGAAGAAGTTTAAGAGGGGTTTCAATGCAACAGTGGTATTTATCTCAGTCCTTCCAGAATTTCACAGGCTGGTTTTGGGATTGTTGCTGCCTCAAATGCCTAATTTCACAGCAGCTTTTCTGCTTATAGGCAGATGTTTTTTGCAATGAAGTGCAGTTGAAAATCGTAAAAAATAGTCGTGATGCTCTCTCAGATTCGGACCTTGTTATGATTGTTCAGTGAAGAGCCTGTTTAGAAAATAAAGGGATTCTCTCAACCGAGGTTATAAGGGGTTTTAAATTTGAAAAACATACAGGAAGTGTTGAGTTTGAAATAACGGCGCCATGCATTAACTTTATCAACAGGAGCGGATAAAAAGTAAAAATACAAAAACACAGAGGGAATAACAAATAACGGCCCGTTGTGCTGAGTAAAGGTCCAGACACTATCTGTGAATTTTATTCCTTTATATCCTCCATTATGAAGAAATAACATTCTTTGCTAGCTTGATGCTAATGGCAGTACTCAGCAGCTTGATAAAGTGCCTCTAAGTTTCACACCATCATTTTTCCTTTTTACTCTGTGTGGTAACATCCCTGCAGGAAAAGTTGTTGTCGTACAGTTTCCACAGCAGCAGATCGCTCTGTGTTCCTATTGGTCAAAGTGGCTGTGACGGGAGCAGTCACGAATGACAAAAAGTAAAATCAAACATGCTAGACTTTCTGTTGGAGGCGTCCCAGGCGTGCCATCAGTTGTCGTCTACTATGACACAATATACGAGATGAAACAGTGGACTGTCGTGTATGACGCTAATTGTCGTTCATGAGCTGAGCCGACACCGTGTGACGCAGCGTCAGGCTATAATCGAGCTGATATTGTTTAGTGTGAACCAGGCATAACTGAATCACCAAGAACTTAATCAAAGAAAATCAGTTCCAGAGGATCAATCTTCATATCCAGCCCTACAACATACACTACAGTCAGGTAATATTTACGTCTATATGTTGGTCAGGCTCTACGGTCTATATTCAGACCCTCAGTGATGGTTCATTAAGGACTCTGATGTTCTTCCTCCGCATACACCAGCACCTGCACACTCATCATCATCGTCTCTCTGACGCCATCGCTTCCAGCACTTCATTTGCAAAGCTGATTTTATTTGTTGAGGCTCGCTACATAACGCCGCTGTGTCGTCATCGAGGGACATTACGCAGGGAGAGAGTTCCTCGGATTTGTCCTCATTAGCAGCCAAAGACCACTGGTTCCTGGAGGCGGTAACCAGCGTCGCTTCCCTCTGTGGGCAGGAACATGGCGACACCACTGTTCCTTATGACATTTCTCATGTCACGCACGAGTGTTCCCTCTGCGCAAGACGCGGCGAGTAAACACACGTGATGCCCGAGAGCGCCCGGGCAATAAATAGCCCAAATGATCCGTGGGTGTGCGTCTATGGATACGTGGACATTGTGCAGTGTTGTCTGCCTCTCACACACACAGGTGTACAGTCACATACACAGTCTGCACACACACACAAAGCTACCATCAGCATTCCCCTTGTCTTCTCTGTCCTTTGATATTCCCCCTGCTCTCCTCTCAGCTTAGTACCCTGCTAGTGTTCCTCTAACCTTTCACAATCCTTCCCTTGGCACTTCTTGATCTATCCTTTGGGTTTTCATATTCATGCCCTCGATTCTGTACCTCTGCTACCATCTCTTTGTCATTTCTCCAGGCTTTGTGTCTATCAGCAGCTATGCCCTAAATGTCATATCTGCAAGGAGCCACGACAAAAACACACAATCCATGAAATTAACACATCTCTCCACTCAATAAGACGCGTTAATAAGGTCAAAATATTCCTCGGGCACAGCTTCCTTCTGAAGAATATTTGCTAAGTCTGGCTTCACAGACAAACCAGCACGTGTCTCCAACTTTACGTCCCTTCCTGAGTTGACCTTGACCACTGAGACCAACAAAGCCATTTGTTTGCCAGACAGCCGGGGACAGTTGGCCCTCCGCAGTCGTCTTGGCTGGCCCCTCCGTCTATCCATCCATCACAATGTTCTTGGTGCTGACAGCGAGAAGCTGTGGACGCCACGCATCGTTTCCTGTTTGAGTTATGAGGGGCAGGGGTGCTGCCGCCTTGAAAACAGGGTAGAGGGGATGGCAGCGTGCTCCTTAAAGGCCGGAATTTATTGGAATACAGAGCAGAGTCGGATTAATCTGCTTTGCTAGACACCGGTTTGTCCGAGGTTCTGTCTACACGTTAAGGGATATGAGATTTTGTAAAACGCCTTCTAAGGAGCTGATTTTTAAAAACTCCAGTTACTGTTCAGCTGCGTGGACGTGCAAAATGGAGAACTTTTGGGAACCTAATCACGTCTATTGTTGCTTTGTGTGAGCATACACCAGAAACAACAGTAACGCACTACCAGTTTGCTCATGTTTTGTTGGTCTAATGACGACTTTCCACGTAAACTTACTATTGCTGCATCACTTCACGGACAAATGGAGGTGTCTGCAATTTGAAGTCAGTCAGTAATGATGGTTTTAGATCAGGCCCAGTTGAACCAGCAGATGGTGGGATAGTTTCAAGAGTGGGATTGCTATTGATTAGAAGTGGACGGAAGCATTTTGCATGTCCTGAGCATCGCTCTCGTGTTTAAGTGAGCTCCTTCGTCCCTAAATTGAAGAAGGTTGACTGCATCTAGAAAAGAGAGTCTTGTCTACTTTTTCTGCGTGACATGCGCGGTTTCGGCAAAAATAGGCAGTGAAAATGGTCTTGATACTCATATTGATATTCTATTAGAAGAAGGTCTCAGTCAGGTTGTTTTGGTGCGCAGTTGAGTGTGATTGCTGTGTTCACGCCTGCCCAAACGAACCGCACTTAGGGGGCAAACAAACTTGAGTTAGATTGAACTGAACCAAACAGGGCAGGTGTGAAAGCACCCTTACTTATATTAAACGCTGGATTCGGGGCACAGAGCCCCAGAAGCTACCCCTCCCCTCCGCCCTGGTCCATTCTCACAAAATGAGTTCAATTAGCCTGCAGTTAACGGATGGAGTGTCATCTAAATCCGTCCTATAAATCATTCACTTCTCAGAGTCACACCGGGCACTTACATGTTAATGATAAAGTGGAAGTGAGCATGTAGGGAAAGCCACATAGTGCCTCACCCTTCACTGAGCTAACAGAGATAAGTAACGCTTGAAAGACATGGGAGATCCGAGTGGGGGAAAAGAGCAAATCGTGTACTTGTATGCGCCCGAGCAAGTTTGAGTACAAGTGTGGGCGTGCACGTGCGCACACACCTGTTTTCCTCATTGCGTATACACCTGTGCTGTGCAGGCCTTGTTAATATTCACCGTGGGAGCTTGTTGTTGACGCCCTCCTCTACCTTCAGTACAGTAAAATCCTTCAGCCGAGCTGGTCTGGAGGGTCAACATTCCTGCGATAAGAGGCTATTGTTTCCTTCAGGCTCAGTACAAGTTCCACTGGGCCAGTTTCATAACACAGGAAGTTAGGCAATATGTCCATTGAAGCAAATAATCCATTGTAACATTTCCACCTGCTTGTGTTCAGACACTTCAGTAAGTAGGTTGTTGTATAAGAGCCAAATTACTCTCTGTTGTTTCCATGATTTACTGGAGTGCCAAATCTTACAATTTAATAAAGTTTATTCATAACACAGCCGTCACAGACAGTGTTTTGTAACTCCAGACATTTCCTCATTCTCCAGTCGCTCTCACACAGCCATGCATTATGGAAACCTGGATCTACCTGTGTTGCCCCCCCGCATCTTAAATTATTCAGCCCACCAGACGTCCCGACAAGCCGGGACAAGCGTGTGTCATTTATGCACCGAAGCACAAAGTAGCATTCGTTCACCTGGGGTACCTCGTACCAAGCGCTGACAGCGCTGTGCGACACAGCTCCAAGGACAGGAAACGTTTTTCCTGCCAAGACAGACCACATACAAGCACGGCCACCTGTGCTCATTCTTTAGCATAGCATGCTTGCAGTGCGTAGCAGGGACTGGACACAGAGGCAACACCTCTACAAGGTGATGCAGTCGCATTCCTTCAAGCTTTTAACAGTGACACTGTGTCACATGACTTAATCACGTCTGTGGTAATGTCTGAGGATGAACTTTGTTGTATGTTAAAGGACGACATATGAGGTACAACACGCTGTGTGATGTCTGTATGGCCCTAAGCATGTATTCTGGCATTCTTGCAAAATGCACTCATTCACTTGAGGCCAGTTAGATGAGACGATAGATACCAGTGTCTTGTCAGTGCAATAAATATGCAGCTATGGGCAGCAGCCACTTAGCTTAGCTAGCTTAGCATAAATCTGAAAACTTCTAAAGCTGCTAAAAATGCTTTTTGTTGAGGGAACCAGGACGACGCTAACTTCAAGATTGGCCAATAAAAACCATCGTGCCTGCAGCACTCTACACCAAATTATTCCTAAACGTTACCACAGAGTTGATTCAGCACCTGTGAAAGTGTCGACATACTAATTATACCATTCAACATCACTGCAGCTGAGTGCACAACATTGTACAGGTGTTGCTTTTACTGTGTCCATCTGCGTCCAAGCATCGAGCTCAAAGCTGTGAAAAGTCCCACCACCACACGGATAAAAGAGGGAAGAGGCAGCAGAGGCTCAAACAGCAGAGGAGCCGACAGACAGAGACGTTTAAGAAAGTTACCTTCTTCGTCTGAATCTGTGATAAACTATAGCGGCTATAAGCCTACAGGGAGAGAAGAACATAATAGTGTATTTGTTCATTATTTGATTACTGTTCATCAGGAGCCGTTATTAACAGCAGTGGTAGCAACTGTATTCTTCCTGGGCTCCACAGAACATAAAAAACTGTGTAAATGAGGAAGAGTACTTTGATCAATGGCAAGGTTCAGTTGTGTCATGGTGACTCACAACCAGGCCTGTCACGATAACTACTTTTGTTTAATGATACTGTCCCAGAAATAATTGTGATAAACAATACTGTTGTCATTTTGAGACCATTTTATACACCCTTTCAAAGAGCAATAACATTTATTTTTTAGAATATTTTGACACTGAAAAACAGAAAAGTATTCAACAAAAAAAAAAATAAAAATCTTTTTTAGGAAAAACAAAACAAAACAAAAACAAAAAATGAAAACATAAATGACGTGAAATACAAGAGGTCTTTCCTTTTAGTCCGGTCAAAGTGAGCTTAAGCGCCACATTTCAAAGTGCTTTTCATTTTAAGAGGGTTACATTTTATTGTTTCATGATGTAAGTGTTTTGCCCTTTATTCAATTTTCTTTTGGCTTCGATGAAGCTAGGCATCGTCCACCCTCTGGACAATGGCTAGCTAACGTTCGCCTTGGCTGCTCTGCACTGCCTACTAGCCGAGGCCAGTGGGAGCTAGCTAGCAGAGCAGCTCATTCACCATTTACCAATCGTTGCAGAAACACTGTGAACACCCTCCTGTTTCTCCTCTGATAGCACTGGTGAACAAGCATTTTGAGCCACAAACTGCTCTATAGTATAGTTCCTATGTTAGCAACACTAGCCACACTGACACTGCTAACAGTGCTAACAGAGTTAACAGTAATGCTAAAGGAGGTTTGTGGCTCAAAATCAAGCTGTGCACTCACCCATGCCACCTGGGGGGAGACTGGAGGGTGGGCACAATGTTTTGACTGCAATGCTGTTGGGTTGTAGCAGTGTTACAAGCGGTTCATCGAATGAGCAGCGCGCTAGCTAATGTTAGCTATCACCAGACCCAGGTGGTGGGCACCAGTAGCAAAATTAACCTATAGACTGACATGTATAACCCAATTGGCGACCTCTGAGGTTGAGTAATGAAGCCAATGCAGTTCATCAAATGGCCACTTGGCTCCAAAACAGTCAATCGCCATAGACCAGGGGTCGGCAACCTTTTGTAAAAGAGCCGTTTTTGGCCAAAATGAAAGGAACAACATAACTAATGGCTCCAAACAAGTAACAAGTACTCATTAATGTCTTTTACCACAAGGTGGCTCCACTACAATGGACTATTCATAATTATTTGGTAATTCAACTTTGCAGCGTTGGTGGTGAAAGCAAACAAATCTGTGCATACACCATTAAATTCTCTGTTTTCCTTTTTTGAATTTGTAATTCACAGTTAGCCTAGCTATGAAGTCTCAAGACGAGCCACCGCCATTGAAGCAAAATCTAGAAAAGGCGCCAGGTTGTAGACGGTATGATGATGCACATTTTAGTAGAGGAATTGTTAAAATCTTTTCTTAATCGATGTTTAGGCTACACATTTTAGCAATCAGAGAATGTAAAATCACTTAAGGTCTAGAACATTGACGTATGAAAATAAAAATGCCTCCCAAAAAAACAAGATGGCGATGGCCATAAGACTTCAACCGTAGCCAAACTGATTATTTATACAGCCTACGGCATAACCGGATAAAAGTATTCTCTGCGCTCGTCCAATTATCAGTTTGGCGGTGATGCACGTTAACGTTGGTTGCCACCCGCCATAGAACATCAAAAAGAAGAAGAAGAATTAACAGTTAACTTACGACATCCCTGGTCTTTGTATCGTACAATAAGTCAATAACGTAATTATGGTGACAGGCCTCGTCACAACTGTTTATATTTTTCAGTATTGGATTAAAGTGTGATTTTATTATTATTGAAAGTTCTATCACTGCAGAAACACTCTGGTACCAACCTCAAATCTAAAGAAGTGAAAAAGAAAAACACTTCAAATGTGAACAAGGACCATTAGTCGACTTCAGCAGGGTCAAATTACACGTCTCGACTTCTGTGAGACAATGTGTAGCACCTAATTGTAGCACTTAAGGGCTAATTATGAGGATCATTTAGGTTTCGTATCAGTGATTCCAGCCTACACTCTCTGCCCACATATGAATCTGCTGGGAGATAATTGGGGAAAGAGAAATCTTTTTTTTTTTTTTTTAAAGAATAAAGGCTTTGATTTAAACTGTGAAATTCCAGCTCGACTGTCTGCAGCCTGACTTGAATTCAAATGAACTGATCATAGAACAGAAAGATAACAAACAGTATATAAAAGAAATGCATGAATGTAATGTTAATGTGAGTTTTTACATAATTAATGAGCAACATTCGACAACTTGATCCCCCAAATATGACTTTTAATATATGTTTCAGTTAAAGGTTTCACCGTGACCTTCTGTGGTCGTGTGTATTTAACACACACCTCTGCAGACTGACATGTGAACCCCTGGTGAACCAGACCAAGACATCCACCCCCGCCCTTCTAACACTCCCACCTCCACTCACTCAGCCCTCCATCCTCCAAATTTGGGAGAAGTCAGAGCAAGGTCAACTCTGGGAGAAATGCTTTACTCTGTCACTGTCACTTAATGCCTCTTTCCCCTCCTTTTTCCTCCTCTCATCTCTCCTCTGCTCCCACAGTTCGCCTCGGGGGCTAACATCACTGCTCGCTACTGAAGCTTACTGACTCCCCATGAATTAAACATGGATAAACATATTCTCCAACTAACGGGCAGGCTGTTGTGAGGGGGCGGCTTCACACAGGCATCAGGAAACCACTTTATCTCATCACAGCCACCTTAACATGTTTCGGGCCAGTTGGAGAGCTGCACAAGAGCCGTTCGGCGAGGGCACAAGTTCAAATGTCGTGCGCTGATACGCAGTGACTGAATGCACGTATGTGTGTACCTCACCTGTGAGAGCAGCTTATTGTTATCGTCCTCCAGGATCCGCACTTTAGTCTCCAGCTGCCTGATGTAGTTGGAGGAGGAATCTGGAGCACAGACGGAGAAGAAAAGAGAGGAGGAGAAGTGATTAGCATTTCAAAGACCTCCAAAGGAAATACAGGCAGGTGCGACCACTGGAGCAAAAGGACCACATAGAGCTTGAGAGGCTGCTGTGCACTTTGAGAGACCCAAGAACTCGTTCTCCAAATGAGTGGTTTCATGTCACGGTGAAGGTCTAAAATCAAACATATGTGCACAATCTTGTAACTGAACAGGGATCTTTTAATGTGAACTGAAATAATTATTCTGCAACCCAAGATCTTACACAGACGTCTGATTTTACTGTTCGTTGTACAAACTGCTTGTTATGAATTAGCATACCTGATAGGACTGTGTTGGCATCATGATACAGGGGTTACGATTCAATATATTGCGAGTTTTTAAGATCTAATTTTAGGAAAATCGTCATACACACCACCACATGCATAAAAAAGCCAGAACAGTGGGATCTGTATTTGTATTTCTCACAGTCCTTGTAACAACCAACATCAAAGCACTACTGTTTGCAGTGTGAGTAAGGGGATTCATTTGCTTACATCACAGCCTTTTTCCACCAAAATCAGCGTGTGTATGCAGGTTTTTCAAAACAGGTGTTGTATACACGGCTCTACAGCAGGCGAAGATGCCTTTCTGTTTTCTAGTGTGTCACATTCGACATAACAAACTCACCGGAAAACAGGTTAGTAAACAGTGAAGCAGCACGGAGGCCAGTGATAATGTTAGGGTGATAACTTCTTTTATATCTCTTGCTTAATCAGTCTCCCCTTCAATGATATTCGAGCGCTGCTTGGACAGAGACAGACGGCATTTTGTGGTGGGCCGTCATTGCATACCAGCAGCAAAGGGGCTAAAATTAGTACGTCCACCCCGGTGTGGTATTTCACTGCCATTTTGGGGATTATCGGAGCTGCCGTCATTTGTCTCAGGAGTGAATGCTGATTGTAATTTTTCCCATTGAATACAAAAGTCAGAAGTAAGCTAGCTAGGTAGTTGGTTATTTCTTTGTGCAGTGGGAAAGGGGTGTCAGCGAAAACAATAAAATTGTTTGCAGGATTTTTTTTAGGTAAACAAATGATCCATTTTGAATTGTTTACAATTTTTTTTTTAGTGTTTCTGAGAATCAATATGGTATCACAAAACATGATATTGCGATACTCAAGTGGGGTCCATGTCATTGGTCCGACAGCCCATTGGTCCGACGTCCCATTAGTCTGACGGTCCGCGGTGCTAAACAGCTCCCGGCGGGCGTATTTCTGCCTTGATGGTGCGCCGCGACCGGCTCTGGGTCAGCTGGGAAAGGCTTGAGGCGAAGCAGGCTCACAGCTTATGTGTTTGTCACTTTCTTTTTCATTTTAACCCACACCATGATCTTTTCCTGACCCTAACCAAGTGGTTTTTGTGCCTAAACCTAACCAGACCATAACCACAGGGCATCATAATGATTTCGGAAAGGACTTTGGAACAATGGGTTTAATATGGTCGGACCAATGGGCTGTCGGACCAATGGGCAGTTCCCAATCAAGTGTGTCGATATTTTCATACACCCCTACTCCACGACATGTTGACATGTAGTCTAAGTATCAGCAGGTAAATGAAAATGAGAGGCTCTGCTGCAACTAACATTACTGTCATTTTCATTTTACCTGTCACTTTACAACTAATAAATCTTTTCACTCTAAAAGAGTCATCAAACGATGAACAAGACTAAAGCTTTATGTATAGTTGGGCACTCTAAAACATATATACAGTTCCAAAACAAGCAATATGAAACACAAAATGAGATTAATAGAAAGAAAAGCCAAAAAGTACGTTGATATGTACAAGTGAACCATAAAAACGCAAATGATTACAAAGACCAGCTAAGATACACCCTGACACTGGCGTATAGAGGACTGTGTACAAATATCCTGCAGCAGAGCTTTGACACGACTGAGAGGAACCAACGAGTGCAACTTAAACTCCATCTGCAGAAGAGAGCTCCAAACATAAATGGTTGCTCACCAAACTCTGTACGTACCCTCGGTACAGACAATAAAAACAGGTAATGTACACACATAAATATGCTCGAAATAGGCCGAGATACACTGTGCAGCCCTGTAAGTGTCAGAGAAATAATCCTGGTAGGGTTGCAACTAACAGATAATGTTAGAATCAATCAATCTGTCTGATTTTTAATAATGAATTCATTATTTTGGGCTAAAAAATGTCATAAAAGCAGTGAAAAAATGCTGATCATCATCGACAAATTGCGTGTTTTGAGCAACCAACAGTAAAAAAAAGCTGCAAATCCTCACATTAATGGCCCTAAATTTAACCCTGTTAGCTTTTAGTAAAACTGTTAACTCCAAGTTTTATTCTGTGAATCCGTCCACCATGTGCAGAACTTCACACAAAGCCCTCATGTGCTAAAAAAACCTAGTCGACTCCTGATGTCAGGGGTCAAGCACTGAGCGTTCCCACCCAGATTAGCAGTGCTTGACCTAACTTCTGACCTCATACTGGACCAGGGCCACCTCCCAGTTTGGCCCACATGCTGCTGCGCCACTCATTCATCACCACACACACACATTAACGTCATATTTGAGATTAAAAACTGTCTCTTCTCCATATACACCTGACAACAAAACATAACTGTGGCCTAATTGCTCTGCAGGGATTCCCTCCACTGTTATTCCTGCGTTAACATGAATCAACTGGGCCGAGTTCAAACGGGGGACAGGAGCCGTGTGCAGCGTGGAGGTGCAGTTTGACTCAGTAGGTGGCACCGAGCCTGTTATCTAAAAAGGCATGTTTAATTTACAGTGGGATCAAAGCCGAGGAACGCACAGGAAGCGCGCTCCGGCAGCACACCACCGCCACTGCGCACACAGCTTTATTTTATTTTGTTTTCTAAGTGGAAGCACAGAGAGGCAGAGCGAGGAGAGGGAGGTCTAACAAAGCCGGTGGGGAGGCTGCTGATGAATATGCTGGGCCGAGTTGAGATGCAGATGAGAAGCCATAGCTGAAGGGTACAGCACACGTATAATCACAGCGCGTTGCATCAGTGAGGAAGCTCTGACCTTAGTTTGTTTACAGTTGTTTATAACTCAGCCTAACAAGTCTAACCCGCTACTGTTGTTCATGCAACGCTGTTGGTCTGCACTTTGCAACCAGGGGGCGCTGTTCTGCAGAAATCTAATATTAAAAACACAGTGCAGCCTGGACTCAGAAGGTTTTCAATGACAGACAGTCAGAGATGATAGAGGCATCCTTGTTTCACACACAGGTGAACATACAGTGTGTCTAAAAAGAGCTGAGATAGCAGGTTGTGATCAGTTTTCTGCAACACCTTAACAACAAACACAGTTTCCACAACCAGTGTAATAAATTAGAGAAACCACATGTAGCCAGATTTCTGCCTGAGATTGATGTATTTGTCAATACAAGCTTTTCTAAAGGGCGTTTTACACCTTAAGTCTGACTTATGTTTCAGATGACACATGAATAAGGGATATTCAGACATGCACACTTTGTACTCTCTCAGCCTGCCCTCTCACTTCAACCTCAGTCCAAATGCTCTATATCATTAGTACAATTAAAACTTGCCAGCTTTAATTCAATAACATGGTAGAGGATGATTTCATTTTTTAAATTTATCTTTTATTTAACCAGAAAGGTCACAAAGACATCTGATATTTCCACTACCAGGGAGTCCTGGTCAAGATGGGCAGCAAAATGAAAAAGTTACGAAGTACGAACAGAGACACATAACATCTTCTTTCCATGAAAAAAACTAAACAATGACGAACTAAAAACAGATCTTGATAATAAAAACTATGATAAAATCGATGTTAAATTTTCGGCAACGAGACATGGCGAACATGGACATTGAAAGCTGAGAGCGGCCATGCTTGCAATTATCTTCAAATGCCATATGAGAGACAGGTTGGTAAACTCCAGTACGTAGTCTGCGCCAGGAAGTTTCACTAGCCAGCAAAACACTCCACCAGAGCTGCGTCAGCCGTGAGTGCTGTGAGTGTTGTGAGCTGTAATTCAGCAGTAAGCAGTCTGACTCTTCACCTTTAAGGCCATCGACAACCAAGCTCCTCTGTACCTCTCTGAACTCTTGAGGTCCACACCCTCATCTATTTCCAAACAGATTGGACGAGTAGGAGTAGCAGTTATTGAATGTGCAAAGTCTTTAATATGAAACTAAAAATCAAGTTTGCTTTCACATGCACTGAACTGATCCTTCTCCATAGACGTGACAGTAAACACGGGTGAGTGACAGTCGCCCCAGCAGGACCCGCAGCCTGATCTATGTCCAGCCCCTCCACTGTTTACGAGGGTCCGGTGCAGACAGTGCTGTGAGTTGGCCCGTTAGACGACAGTTAGAAGAGGAGGCTGCAGCGAGCAGAGCTGGTAATCCTCTCTTCCTGCCTTGTGACCCCTCTAATCTGGACTCATCTGCTGGCCTGACCTGCGGCCAGATCTCAAGCCGATTAGGATGAAGGTTCCTCAGTCGTCAGTCACCACCAGCACAACAACAAAGAGAGACGGCTCAGATAGAGATGGTGGTGATGGGGGGGGGGGGGAATGAATGTTTTATTTTCCTCAGTGGTGTGTGTATTCAGAGATTGAGATCTCGCCGTCAGTAATCCAATAAACTCAAAAGTCATCAGAGTCTGTCGGGCTTAATTTGATCTCCTTAGAGCACATTAAACAGAAATCAAGATAAGCAATCAAAGATAAATATTGATCTATAGCTGAGGCTTATTTTATCTGCCTCAAGTGAGGAATCCCTCCGTCACGAGCCTTCACACGCCACAGCGCCGTCTCCCCCTCCGCCCCCCATCTGTAAGCCTTTGATGTGTTGTAGGGGGTTAAATCTGGGAGCGCATCACTCCAGCATCACACATGACATGATTAAGAGGTCCTGCTTAAATATGTGCAGAGCTGCCGTGGGAAGATTCGCACATCATGCACAAAACGCACACACACACACTGT